CGGGATCTCCCTCGTCATTGTCCGCGAGAGAGGCTAAGCAGTGAGGTAAGAGCGCGTACACGGGGTGAAAGTTCATTCGATTCCGCGATGAGCTGCGTGTAATAAGTGTGAAATCCCCATTGTGTCATGGCACGCGACCAAGCAGTTTATTAAATCGAGCCGCATCCTTGGAGTTGCAGCTTTCCTAATTATCGCGTCCCGTCGCCGCATCGGAAAAGTCACGCGCGTAGGTGCTCGCCTAGCGACTCTGACACCTTCTACGCGCTCGACTCGTGGCCACTCCTCCATCGGTTGGCCTTTCTCCCCCCCCCCTCCCCATCCCCCCCCCCCATCCTTCTTTTTTCTTTCTTCTCTCTCTTTCTCTCTCTCTCTCTCTCTCTCTCTCTCTCTCTCTCTCTTATTTTCTTCTTCTTTTTTTGCTCTCCTCTCGCTCGTCGTCTCGACAAAATGCTCCTCGACGAGGGGAATTCGCCTCAACAATGACGGCCTCGCGTGCGAATGAGGTTGCATACGCGACACTTGCACAATGCGCGCCGATGAACTTACGCGGTAGCACGAAAAAGTCGTTACCCCGACTACCGTTCGATTGTTTTGTTAATTGCGAGCTCCACGAGGCGGTGATCGCTCGCTTTTCCGTGACTTTATCGAGCTAACGAGAGCGTGTCCTTCGCTCGTAACGAGTACCCGACTTCATCAGTATTTTATCAAATTAAGTTATTTAAATGCTTATTATTGACAATTGTAATTATACGTGGTAAGCATTGTTCCGTTAAGGTAAGGTTGGTAATTAAATCGACCGTTATTAAAAGAAGCATTAAGATTAAGAGCCTAATTTATTTGGTGGGCTTAAAAGTCTTTTAATAGCATTGGAGGATACGGGGTTTTATGGGGTCCGGCGGCGCCATACCAAATGTACAGGCACACTTGACTTTTTCAATTCAATGTTACAATTTTGCAATCTATTGGGCTATTGTGACATTAATAATGATTGCGCGCACTAATTACGAAAATTGGTAATTAAGGCGTTTGAAAGTCGTAAAAGTGTTGGGAGTGAAAACGACCTCCTAGAGAAAACATCGCGGACGAATAGAATGAATGAGACGAGAATTCAGATTTTACATCGTTGAATGTGTTCCCAAGCCGATCGTCTCTCCGCACTTTTTGGCTCGTCCCTAACCCGACGGCCCAACTCGCGACTTAAATAACAATTGATCCGGGCCCCATCCATTAGGAAGAGTAAAAGTAGCGCTCCTTAATAAAAGCAGCCACGCGACGTCGCCAGGAGCGCACGAAGAAACCAAACGCGGATATTAATTATACTAGCGAGAGTCGTAATGGAGGCTCCTCGCGATATTTCGGTGAATGCAGGCCGGCCGTAAAGAATTGTCAATCCGAAGCGAGTGAGAGGAGAGCAAGGAAGCGCAGAAGGGAGCTTTCGCCGGCCCCGAGTTCCCGATTTCTTCGCGAGAGTGGAGCGTCCCGGAGCGAGCCGTTTCACCGACTGCGAGGTGCCCGATCAAGGTTGGACAAGCTGGTTGAACGGGCCGCCCGCCCCTCCCATTTCCTTCTCCGCTTCCTTGGGCTCCTCGCCCCTGCGCTGACCAATGGAAAATGGAAAATATTCGGGATTAAGGGAGGAAGCGAGGGGTACGGAAAATTGCAGATTCATGACTAACGACGCACCGAGATGTTTGGCAACGAGGTGTTTGACACGTAGGAAATCGAGGCACACACGTAGAATCTTCGCTGTCTTCGCCGTGGTTTCTTTAACGCGAAATTGGCCGTCTCAAATGTAATCCAATGCCTCTGGATGATGATTAAAGGAATTGAATTGTACCGTAATTTTCATTGAGAAGTCGCACAGTGGGAAAGGAAAGACGCGCAGCTCACCGGCACTGTTCTATAAAACCTCCCATACCTTTATAGTTCTATAAAAGTTTTTTTTTTTTCAATTTTTTTATTTATCTATCTATTTTATTTATTTATTTATTTAATTTTTTTTTTCTTTTAATGATCGTTACCAGGGTCTCGGTGGTGTACAAGTTCGCTGTAAATTTATAGTCCATGCTACTGCATTCTTTAAACGGGATGGCAGCTAGAAGCCTTTATCATTCTCGGGCTATCGAATGGCAAATGACGTAAAATCATTATAAAGCAATGCATCGGGAACTTATAAGTAAGCGACTGTAAATTTGAGATTCTTTATACTTGCACGTCGCGGTGTAGAAATTTATAGCACACTTTTAAATATTCATAAATTTCAATGTGTTTAGTGCTGATGTTGAAGATTATATCGTGGAAATATTGTTACGAGTAAGGCTTTTCACTTTCTTTAAATTTTGGATTAAAAATTTTTCAAACGTACTCGCATTTATAAGACGGCGTTTTTGTAAAACGCAGCACTAATAAACTGTCTGGCATTCTCAACTATGCGAAGGACAAGTGGCCCGATAAAATGCCAGGGTCTCGAAAATATATTTGAAAGTACTTAAAATTCCTCAAAGTAGACACCCACATTAGGAAACGTATGCTCATGACATTTCGCTTACTCGTTGCCTTCTCGCTCTGTTCTTTGTAGTATTTCTTCTCTTTATCATTTGTCGGCCTTTCCATACTTGTGCGCGTGCGCGTTTATGTTCTTTTTTTTTACTCTCGAGATGCACGAGGAATGACAAATTTGCTTCAACCGCCAGCCGATATATATTTGTAAGTCGAAACTACGTCCCCCTTTCATTGAAGTGAAAAAAGGAAATAAAGAAAGAAAAAAGGACGATGCATTTACCCGATGGTACGCGGAAAATTACTCACGATGTCTCTTATATATAGAAAATACGCGATTCGCATGGATGATAAAAGGTTAGAGAAAAAATTGTTCAATCCTCGATATGCAATGCCGTCAATTTCTACATATGTTACACCCGCCTCTAGACTTTCAATTACGAAAAGTTGACAAATCGACAATCGGCTACCAGGCATTCAAATCACCGCAGAGACAATTTTGCACATACAGTCACATATATCGCTTAACAATTATTAGGAGCTCCGAATAATTAATTACAACGAGAGTTTTGTGCTGAGTGATTACGAACGGAGTTACAATAAGGAAATTATGAAACGCTCGTGCATCGCAAACATTGGCCCCGGCTGCGCAATAGCAATCACATTAATACAACGTTATTTATTTATTCTCAATTGAAAAAATAAATAAATAAATATATATATATATATATATGTGTGTGTGCGCGTGTGCGCGTGCGCGTGAAAATATACAGACGCACGCACGCAGTAATCTAGCGCAACATTTTTTTTATGCCATTGCGGCACTCGAATTTCGTAAATTGTAAACTTTTATGAAGGGACAGATGTTAGATTTAGTCCGTAGGAAGAAGCTATGCCGTATGACTAATGAAGAGACAGTAGTAGGCAATATCGTAGGTTCGAGGAAAAAAAAAAGAAAAAAAAAAGAAAAAAAAAGAAGAAGAAAGAGAGAAGAAAGACAGAAGCGCCAATGCCAAAAAAAAAAAAGAAAAAAAAAGAAGAAGAAAGAGAGAAGAAAGACAGAAGCGCCAATGCCAAAAAAAAAAAGAAAAAAAAAGCTGACGCCGACGTAACGCGAATGCGAGTATCTTCATTAATAACTAATCATTTAATGTAGTGAAAACGATTTTGCTCGCTATCCACATTCTAATCGAAATTCATAACGTTTTTTTTTTGTTTTTTTTGTTTTTTGTTTTTTACGAGCCCGTTATAAAAAAAAAAAACACGTATCTCTTTCAGTTCATCCTACGAGAAATCAGTGTGAGTCTGCATCGATGCTGTAAGGAATAATACTGTTTTTCCTCAAAATTCCAGTCTTTTTTCAGGGAAATACACGACGAGCGGAAAATATCCTAGTCCTATCGGCCTTTAATACAGGCTGACCAATTTAATGGCCTATTTTATAGAACAGCTGCCTCCACGCCTTCTTCAAAATAGATATGACACTATTCGCATTAAACGCAATTTATCACCGGCTCGAGTCCAATTTATTATAACAATATTATAAAGGACGGATTGGTAAGATAACCTCTTGACTCAATATAACCGCGACGTCGGAAGGTGTTTAAGGAATCAAGCCAAAGATCGTCAAGATCGAGCTCGTATTTTATTCATCGCGGTGTCCATCATTCTCCAGCAACATTATTTCACTTGGCTTATGTTGCGAGCCATCGCAAACAATGCAATTGAAAATTGGAAAAGAAATCGATCCATCGCGACTGTCGCGCGTGAAACAACGACAAAATCCTCCGTACAGTGGGAGCGGCAGGGGGGTTGGGGAAAGACCAATAATCTCAGCATAAAGATTAAAAAACCATGGGATGAGATAAGGGAGCAGTGTGGCTCGGCGAGGGATCGTCATAGTGGCTGAGGGAATGGGGGATCGAGGGAGGGATTATCGGGGTTGGGTCTGAGCTGGAGCAGTCATCGAGTAGATGGATGGTGGTTATTAAATGGGCCCGTAGGAGCGTGCCTAGGAAAGCCTAGAAAGCTATGCATCCCCATTCGCAAAATTCGTTTAAGCGATAAGAGAGACGGCGGCGGCGAATAATGGAAAGGCGCGAAAGAGGCCCGATCCCTTTGGCCACGATCTCATTCTGGCCGTTAAAACCGTTCGTTCACTCTCTCTCTCTCTCTCTCTCTCTCTCTCTCTCTTGCTGTCTTGCTGTCTTCCTCTCTCCCTCGCCCCTCCTATCCATCGTTTTCTCTCTCTCTCTCTCTCTCTCTCTCTCTCTCTCTCATTTCCTCGAAAACATAAGCACCACCAGATGATAATTGCGGAAGCGACGAGCGGCTACGGTGGCCGCTTTCGGGTTTGCGGATCG